TTGGTTAACAGGAAACATTTAATAGGAGTTTTCTCCCCTTTAAATTCTAAAATCAAATGTATGTGATATCATTTATTAATCATATAATGTAGACCTAGGGTATTTTGAATTGAAGTCCATCATTTATGACTTTGAAATTGAGGTCAGAATGAAAGTTTAATTTGACGTTCTATATTTTGCTCTTAATTCATATTGGTACATGCTAAAACTTTATGGTTTTGCATTAGGTTGCAGAATTATGACATAGATAAAGTTAAAGTGACTTGAGTGATCCGTAAGTATATTTGTTTTACACGTATTTCATTTATAAATACCTGAAATTATATTTTTTGGGGATCAGCATGAAGCAACGTATCAATGGAAACCGAAGTACATAAATATGTATATTGCATTTGCCAATTTTTTATTCAATAGAAGAAAGGCGAAAATACCAAAGGGATATTAAAACTCATAAGTCGAAAACAAACTCACAATGCCATGGCAAAAACCGCAAAACGACGAAAAAACGCACAACAGTACACAAAGTAAAAAACAGAAAAATAAAGACTGAGCATCTCCACAAAAAACGGGGTGTCTCAGGTGCTCCGTAAGCAGATCCTGCTCCACATGTGGCACCCGTCGTATTGCTCATGCAAGAACAAAGCCGGACAAAAATGACACGAATATAACAAAAAGTGAATAATCTATCCATGCTTGACACCAAATGAAACGATCATGCAGTTTTTGGTAAGTTTTATGTAGACGGCTAGTATGGTCTCAGTTTGTATACAGACCACAGATCAACAGCTTACGATGAGATACATAAATGCTATATCTATTACCTAAAATAAAATTCATTATTTACATTACATTGATAATGAAAAGGGATGGTTTGTTGGTTAATAAACCCTGCAATATTATTATTATTGTTATTTTTGTAGTCATTGCTTTTATCATTAATAGTATTTAAACAACTTTGGTTCGGGGTTTTTTATGTCTTGCCTTTAGAGTATTAGAAAAAGACGAATTCCTTGCAGAATCTCCTACACTCTTTATCATTATATACGATGTTCAAAGGTCTATGCTTTTATATTATTGGCGAAAGTAATTTCAACATAACAAATGTATGTAATCTATATTGTTTCCAGCGAAACTGGTTTCTCTATCAATCTTCAAAAGGACCACTCGAAACCGAAGCCATGAGATTTGAAGTTAGCTTCATTATCAAAAGTGAACGTTAACCAATAATTTTGTTCGATGCGTAAATTAGGGTATGTTTTGGATATAATTCTTTTATACTTTCCAGAAGCTTTGATGTATTCTCGAAAAGTTTTGCGGAAAGATTAACTTAAATGACAATTACGGTATGCGATTGTGGGCATTCTTAATTAGGAATAAGTAAAGCAGCAATACTTACGTCCTTACCGTCAATGATCTCACTGCAGGGACACAGACACACTTTCAATGTTGCTGAAAGAATCGGATCTGATTATCTTTCTTTTCTCTACCGGTAAACAATTATCATATATTCCGAAATGAGGGATAGTATCGTTTACCATATTTACCAAGGTGTACCAATTTTGAAGCGTTACACATATTGTTCATCTGATATGCCCTAGTTTCGGGGTTGATGGCTGGGTGTTGCTCCGTTAAGGGTTATTGAGTCTATGTTAGAGTCTACAGAAAGACGTTTGTGAGAGAGTTTCCTTTTTGTTTGTCCTTTTGACGGAAGCAGGACAAATCGCCCCACTGGCAAATCGCCCCACACCAAATCGCCCCGCTTTTTCACCAACTCGCCCAACTTTTAAAAAAATCGCCCCAAACTAGTTTACCAACTCGCCCCACTTTTTAAAAAATCGCCCCACTTGTGAAAAGGGTTAAACCCCATTAATTTTTCTCCTGCCAACTCGCCCCACTTAATGAAAAAAGGTAAAATCTAGATGAATATATAATTTTCAGGTCTGCCAACTCGCCCCACTTAAATGAAAACTAATCTACACAGAATACAAAAAAACGAAAATTTATTAAATTGTTATTATTGAAATTAGTTGATGTTTCACTTTCTTAAAATATAATTGTAAATACATTATTTATTATCATGCAATTTTCGTATTATTGGAGAATAACTTTATTCTTGTAAGCTTAGTTATTTGCATAACAATTGAAAAGAAACCTGTTAATTGTATCACAATCCGATATTTTATCATAACAATTGAAGGATTTCAATTAACAGCAATTTGTTTTTATAGCACTAAACGGATTGGTTACTTTTGTCTTTGAATTAAGAATAATTAAACACTAACGAGCAATCAGTGAAAGGCAAATGTTACTTTCAAGTAAACATGGTTAATATCAAAGAGAATGTCCATTCATTCTAGTCAAAGCAGGTTTTGTTGTTTTTGAAAAATTGATTGGTAAGTTTTGTTTATGGTTTGAAAGAAAATACAAAATTGAGAAATTCATTGCTTGGTTTCAAAATTATAAAAAAGTAAAGTAGCCTTTGTATTCCTCTTGTTACACGTATGTATTGTGTCTGAGTGATCAAATAAAAGTTAAAGTTATAAAGTTATAAAGTCATGCATTTACTATGTCTACTGTGTATCATTGTGCTGTATTGCAGGCAGCATATCTACAAATAGACTCTTACGCCAGTGTGGTCGTGTCAACGGTCCAGTCGTGGAAGCAGACAGCTACTGAACTGTCTAATGACAATCAATTTTACCCTTTTTCATACGTGGGGCGAGTTGGTAAACAAGAGTGGGGCGATTTTTTAGAAAGTGGGGCGAGTTGGTGAAAAAGTGGGGCGATTTTTTAGAAAGTGGGGCGAGTTGGTGAAAAAGTGGGGCGATTAGGTGTGGGGCGATTTGTCATGGATTCCCTTTGACTATCTCTGTTAGCCATGATGTTAATAAAGGAAATGATTATAAAGTTGAAAAAGAAGTTTTACTCACGTGTGAAATGGGAATATAAATGTCCAATTTAAGCTACTTAAATCCAAACAGGGAAAACTACGTCACAGCTTACACTATTTAAGTTTATGTTGATCGTTGCAGTCTAGATGACGGACTAATACATTAAAACTCCCATTTACGTAGATTTTAAAGGAAAGAAGTACACAGTAATGAAGTATGGTTATGTTATAACACAGCAGTAAACGAACACAGTTCAGAATTAAAAACAAAGAACTAGATTCACAAAATAAATGGCTTTCCTTTTCAAAAGAATTTGCAAAACCGAGTTCTTACTACGTGTACCTTTCTAAATATGGAACAATCAATAAGAGTCGTGCGAGATTTTTTAACACGCCTACATTATATATACGCTTACAATAATTTTCCAAATCAAAATCAGGTATCGACAGCATACCGTTTCAAACGAAACTATATGATACTGTTTACGAGTTTATTTTTTTATCTCAAAATTTTCAAAAAGCAAAACTTATGTGTCGGAACAGAATGAATCAATTTTTCAAATGAATTATTATATTTTACACCTTAAACAATTTATTTTTCTATAATAAAAAAAATATGTCTGTAAAAGCGTGCAATTGCATCTCTTGTTCGCAAAGCTTGAAAAGATTTTCTTTGGGCGCTGTCATATTAATTTGCTCATGTAGGAACGATATATCATATAGGGTCAACGATGCTAAAGATCGTTAGAACTAAATAACCCTCGGGCAGTAATTAGTGTAGAGTAGCATGAGAATATAACTCCTTAACCATAAGACACAAATAAGTTAGGAAGAGTGGTACGCGCATAAAAACAACTAACCAAAAGACAAAAGAAACAAACAATCGATCTAAGAGTATGCACACTTACCGAATGCTAGTTCAAAGCCAAATGTCTACTATTATATCCCCCCCCCCCCGAAAAAAAACCTTTCGTTTAAGCTACACGGGGACTACATTTCGGAATCGTCATCGTTTTATCATACTATTGAATTATGTTACTTACTAAAAATAACAGTCGATATAAACTTTTTTTCTGGAATTAGGTTCCTTATGAAAATAGAAATCCAGAATTTGAAAGCCAATACGCGAAGAGCTGTATATGACAAAAACAAATATGCTACACAGTGACCCAAGCTAGGATTCGGTACAGGGATTCGATATGTAGATATGTAGATGTTTTGTTGTATACAAAAGATTCAACGATGACTGTAGATGAGGGGAAAACTATATTATATGAATGAAAATCTTATGACAGTGATGGCCTTGAAATTTGAACCTGATACGCGCCATATTATATATGTACTGTCGAAGCTTGTACATCTATGTTGACTTATTGTGTAATACCAAAGGACTTTAAGTTCGTGTAATTTTAGTACCAGTAGACAACTCTAAATTCATTTGGTAATCTTACTGACAAAGACAATTATAGGTCATTTGCGAGTTTTATAACGATTGCTTGAATAATTGATAAACAAATGTACACTGTTTTTTTTCAAATTGAACACCTTGAATTTTTTTTAGTTATGCTGATATGTGTAAAATTAGCAGGTCAGTTGCTGGGTTGACACACTTTTAGTGGTAAAGTTTTATAAAATTAACGGTACCAAATTTTCTGCATCATTCCTTCGAAAGTTTTACGAACTCTATCCGAAGACCACTGATATTTGCCAGTTGTCGTTACCACAATCCAGTTCTCTTTATCTCCATTGATACACCACCAAATCTATACTTGATCTTCCAAAAAGGTATCAGGTTTTGCTTCTAGTCTTGTATTTTTTTTCCTATATACATTGTTTTGTTTTTAAATAATAAAATTGCACATCCAATCTCAATTTTAAATAGTGCATTGTAAACACAAGGTTGTATAAGGGGAAATACCTATTTTTGACTCCTATTTATTGAAGAAATAAACATTGACCATCCAGATAGGTGTTCTCTAATTTCCCCATATATATTGTGTCATTCTAGCAATCCTATTACTACAATCATATCTATACAAAAATGTACAAAAGCTTTATTTAAAGTCGGACATGTTTACATGTATGACACATACAACACAAACTCTACGGAGCTTTTAAACCGACAAAGACAAACTTAAAACATAAGATATGATAATATATAGACATACATACATGTAAGACATGGCATACACACAAGCTTCAATACACAAGTATACAAAATAATCATATTCAACAACACAAGCATACACATTTTAAAAACTAAGCATTCATTCAATTATTCAGTATTAAATGCAGATCTATTTTATGTTATTAAACACAGTTTAAGACATGGATTCTCCATTCGTTAAATACTTTGTCGGTTCATAAATATCATTTATCTGAATATCAGCACCTACTGGTGGTATTGATGTATCGTCATACATGACACTATACATAGGATTTTCTGCTCCATGTACTTTTCCTTTTACATCATTTAATGATATCCTTCTCCTGTAATGTTAAATCACTACTATTATTTTCACTTTTAAAATAAAAACAGATCTTAGAATAACATAGCTATATCATTTATTAATTGTTTTCACTTTCGAAATATTTGGTCGTAAATGGAGCGAATTTTATTACAGAAACTAGTGTTGTGTGCATGAAAATATTAATTTTTTTATACAAGATATAAATCACCAATAAAAAACTTTCGATTATACAGCGTAAGAAAGATAAACCATGAATCATTAATCATTAACTAATGATATCAACGACAATGAATTAGACAGATTTCTATTTATTTAACAAAAATGAAAATAAATACCTTCTGATGACAAAAACTGCAACAATAATACCTGCTACCACAACTGCCACACAAACTCCACCGATGATGTAACCTTAAAACATAAACCATTAAGTATGCATGTATATTTAACGTAACTGTTATCCCGATAATATTATTATGATAACGGGAACGACTTTCCAAAGAAAACGTTGCCACCATCCATCTAATTTAACTTTTTTTCATTTCTCCTTTGCTGATGAACACCTACAGTCAATATAGTCGTAGTCTAGTAGTTGGTAATACAAAGAACCAGCAACACGATCAGATTTGTTTTAACTTGAGTAGTAACACATCAGTAAGTGAAGGACCATCTAGTTTTAAAATTTCCATTACATGACGATCGAAGACCATACATGTAGTTATCAAACTTTTAATCATATAAGATTTTTTTCAGAACTATTTGATGATAAGGAACTTATATATTTGTCGAATTATGACAATCATACTTTGTAAATTCTCAGCATGACCTGCAACTGAATTTTAATAAGAATTAAAAAAACTGTCATTTATTCAGGATTTAACTTGTTATAATCGCAAATACATATAAATAAAGCAGCAACCATACGACAAAAGGTATAAAAATATGTCAAAAGAGTTACTGATTTGGACATTTTGAGGGACGAATCTATTGCTTTTATTACTCAATCCTAATTGATTAATTCTGAATCAGTGCGGTAGCAATATGTACATGTACATAGTCAAACATAGCTCTTCCAAATTGTTTTCGTCCTGGGCTGATATGCAGTAAAAAGTAAAATCACAAAAATACTGAACTCCGAGGAAAATTCAAAACGGAAAGTCCCTAATCAAATGGCAAAATCAAATGATAAAACACATCATTCGAATGGACAACAACTGTCATATTCCTAACTTGGTACAGGCATTTTCAAATATAGAAAATGGTGGATTGAACCTGGTTTTATAGCGCTAAACCTCTCACTTGTATGACAGTCGCATCAAATTTCGTTATATTTACAACGATGCGTGAACAAAACAGACAAAATAGGTGAAATAGTCACACTATGGGTACAACAGTCATCACTGTGTCACAATCTCAAAACAAACAAATATTTAACAAAAAAGCACAGAAAAGTAAAATCACAAAATTACTGAGCTCATAGGAAAATTCAAAACGGAAAGTCCCTAATCAAACGGCAAAATCAAATGATAAAACACATCAAACGAATGGACAACAACATCGTTAAGCATCTATAAAATTTAAAAACCACATTCATTGCTTCACTAGTCTGACGTCAGAAAATGTAAACGTCACATAGGAAGAAATCACTTAAGTTAAGATATCCAATCGTAGTATTAATTTATCGTAGGACATGTAGAAAAATCCGTCCGGTTGGAACAAATTTTAATTGTATAGTTTATAGTTTTATGCATTTTAGTAATAGTTATATCATAAGGACGAGGAGTGTCAGTGTAAGATCATCCCGATGGCCAGAGGCCAGAGGGTGATCTAACACTGACACACCAAGTCCGAATGGGATAACTATTTTACATCCCAGCTGTTCTAGATTTGATAAAAAACCATTTACGCTTCATAAAATCTAGTTTAGAACGCCACACAATCATTCTTACATACTTTATACATTACTATATGGTATATAACCTTTATGAGCCCCGGAAACAATGTTTAAATATGTTAAGTTAACATTGATTGTATCCAGTCGTGCTAGTGTAGGGGTATGACTCGTGGGTCTATATGCCAAAGGTCTTGAGTTCGAATCCCAGCATAGACACTGAATTTTTCATCATAAATTTTGATAGTTAGTCTTTTCCGAAAATATTTCTAAGTTTTAGTATTAATTTAACATTCCCGCCAAAATGTTACAGAACAAAGCAAAGCATGCAGAACAAAGAAACTCAAGCTAGGGTGATCTGGTAGGGGTGATCCGGCTCACCCCGGTAGAACAAAGGAAGTCCATTTTAGGTATTGAATAACAACAAAAAGATCATCAAAAATAGTTTAACTATGTCATATCGGAAAGGCATCTAAAAATCATTTCATACATGGCACAAACAATTTGATTTACAGCTTTACTGTACTGCCAGTGTACAAATTTTAGTTGTCAAAAAGTTTTTTTTTTTTTAGTTTGAATCATACACTTATTACCTGTATTTGACTTGTGTGTTGGTTTCTGTCCGGTGGCACCTGCAATAGTTTTATCAAATAGTTGAATAATATCATTTCGCAAATAATTTTCAACAGTCGAATACTTTTGTCAGTTTTAACAGTTACAAATGCAGAAGTCTTTACAAGTTGTCCGGTTATTCAGTCCAAATATATTATCGTATTTAGGTTTTTTTTAAATGTATTTAGAACACAGTCAATAAATAAGACAACCATGAAGTAAAACAAGAAAATAACCGACTATAATAGGAGTAATTAAATAATATCATATACGTAAATATGCATTGTACACGTCAAAATAGTTATTAAAAAAGGAATTTCCACAATAATTGATAGTTTGAGTCTTATATGTTGATAAGGTTTCTTACTGCGTCTTAAGGGACCGCCTTGATTGGTGACTAGTTGTGTAGTTAGTGGAGTATTTGGTCTAGCCGTCTTCTTTTTCATTCCGTGAATAGTTGTAGGTCTCATTGTTGGAACAGGTGTCGGTGATTTTGACCGCGAAGCCTTCTTTGGTCTCGTTGCTGGAATAGGTGTCGGTGACAAAGTCGTCTTCGCTTTCGTCGTTCGCATTGGTTGATTAGTTGTTGTTGAAGGTGTTGTTTCTTGAGTTGTTGATGCAGATACAGGAGACTGAGTTGTTGTTAATTTAGGTGAATTTACTTTTGGAGTTAATGTCGACGATACAAAAGTCGTTGGAACACGGGTTGTAGCTTGTAATGACGTTGATGACGCCTTTACCAAGTTAGTGGTTAGTGCAGGTGGTTTTGTTGACTGAGTAGTTGGTGAAGTTGTTGTCGATGTGTGTCTAGTTGATAATTTTGTGGTCGATTTCTGTGTAGTTGGTGTAGTTATCTTCTTCGACTGAGTAGTCGGTGCAGGTGTTGTCGATTTCCGAGTGGTTCGTGCATGTGTAGTCATTGACTGTGTGGTCGGTTCAGGTGTTGTTGGTGACATAGTACTCGATACATGTGTCGTCGTTGACGGGGTTGTTGAATCAGTTGTTGCCCTTGGCAAAGTTGTGAGTTTAGGTGTTGATGTTGAATGGGTTGCAGGTGTATTTGTTGGTGTAGTTGTTCGCTTCTGATTAGTTGATATTGATGTTGTCCTTGTTGGAGTTGTTGTTGACAGAATAGTAGAAGACCTGGATTTTATGACAGTAGTCAATGGAAAAGTTTTAACAGATAAAGATGTGGTTTTAGGCAGACTAGTCGTTGATCTAGGTGTGGTTGGTATAAATTCTGTTGAATAAATCCATTAATTATCTAAACACGTTTATTGAATAGTTTTAATTATCCATTAGATTTTTCTAAAATATTGTAACGTATTTAATAAGTGTGCTAACAAATTCGTTGTCTTTTTTAAAACCTTATATAGATATAAGAAGATGTGGTATGAGTGCCAATGAGACAACTCTCCATCCAAGTAAAAATTTATAAAAGTAAACCATTATAGGTCACATACATTTCTCCTTAAAAAATGTGTATAGATCTGCGGCATTCGAAAAACATTACGGTTAACATGGTTAAGGCATCAGTTATGAATACCTGTATTATATAAATAAGGGAAGATGAAATAATATAAAAAAAAATACTAAACCCTTTATTTAATATAGAAAGCGGTCTGATAATTTTTTCACTGACAAATTTTAGGAAAAAGGGATATTAACTTCAGCACAAATCAACTTTTAAAGGATCTACGTAATTGAGCGACACAATAGTATACCGGACCGAGAAAAAAAATTATGTTATTTTGAGTAAGACATGACACTCCCTTAGGCAAGAAAACGCTTACGGTTCCAAATATTTTGAAATGTTCAAACGGTTAAATGGCTTTATAAGCTAAAGTGAAAAACTAAATGAAGTAGTTATTATAATAACCGATTATAAACCATATTTACTGTATTCGCATATACTGCTGTAATGATATTTTGGAAAGTTGCATGGGTAGTCATGCCATTTATAGTTATCATCTCGGCGAATCACGGCGCAATCTTCCAATGCTCCACTTGAGAAAAGAAATCCTCTGTTTCCTGGTCCTTGTCCACTTTCCCAGTTTCCCCAGGTCATTTTTTGGCCTATCGTTTGAAAAAAAAATGAAAATAAGCATTTAATAGTCAGACAACAGTAAACACGCGTTATCAAAACATTTCATATAATAATATGTCATTTGTGTACCTACTTTGCTTTACTGTGATTAAGTAAAAATTTGATCAATACAAATACATTTGTATGGGAAAAACACAACCTTGTTTTCGAGAAGTGATTAATATTTTTTTAAATTCATCAAAGAAACTAGACTGGCGTTTCGTTTCGTCTACACAGATTGGCACTCGAATTAAGAAAGACGAAGTACTTGACGGATCAAATTTCAAGTGCATTGAAAAATATAAGAATTACCCGATGAATGAATTGTATGTGTATAGTAATCACTGTGTAGCATCATCACCGGATATAGGTACCCCCGAATCGGTGGAAAAAAAAAATTTGAATTAGGGTAAAGGTCGACTTCTTCTTATTTTCATTAAAGTCTACGTTTTGCCGACAAGTAAAGTTTTGTGATACTGATTCCTAATATTGAAGCTACTATTTCGAGCTGATTATAACCATGGTGACCTTTAATTGACTTTCTCTCTCTTCAAACTGTCAGATTCGGCTAAGGGTACCTGTTCAACGAAGCATATGACGAGTTCTAACTTGTTAAAAACGTATTTATCCTTCAACTATTCATTTAAAATTTTCGTAGAACAAAGGTATATCATATTTAAGCTTGAACAATACTGTATTTTAAAATTAACTATTGTTTACACAGAGAAATTCATGTGAATAAAGCGAATAATAAATTAAATTGTATGCCGAAAAGTTGTTAACTGTACGGGGATTATAATAGGTACTTCTTGTTATTTTATTTTTTTTTTGCTTTGGGGGTTCCTATATCCAGTTGTGATGCTACACAGTGGCAATGGAGTGGCTACTGTAAACGATTCTTTTAACAGTTTTTTTTTCATTTGAATTATTTGAAATTGTATATCAAATTTGATTTATAAGAACCTTACTGTCTAAGATGTCAGGTGAACTTTCTTAACTAGACTCAAAACTAGCGAACAAGAAGATGTATCAAGATCAAGCTAGCCAACAACAATGAAAAACGCACCAAACTGATCATACATTTGTACATAAAAACCTGGTTTAAAAAAAAAAAAAACATGTAACGCCTGGTACTTTTCTTTTGTGATTATACCTACTCCATATTTAGTTGTAAATTTATATGTAAATAACGAATATGGAAAAAATAAGATTCTTCTTTAATGTATTATTTTATAGCATATACTTTTCATATGGATCCTACTATTTGCACTTCTTCGAGATCCTTAAATGTAGATATTAGTAAACGAGCATACCATTTACCCATTTCCACTGTCCTTCCTTTTCTCTATCAGTGCCACCAATCCAGATACCTTTTCTATGCCAGCCAGCTGTTTGTAAGGCTTTCGTAATGAATTGTTGTTTTGTCATGTCTTGTATCATTACCAAGTCTCCGTGGTGTTGTGTACAATATCGTCTTGCATCATACCAGGAGTGCTCGTCATGTATCAGCTCAATACATGTATCATTGTAGGCAAACAAGTGGTTATCTCTTGGAATGCTCTGAGGGCATCGCTGAACATTCCCTATTGGGTAATTAATTAAGAAAATGAAAAATCGAATTTGATTGTTTTAACTGCTTCTTTATATCATACTGTCTTCATAGATACTTAATATTTGCAACCTTTTACATGAAATATTTGACAAAAATGTGTAATTATTATCGCGTGAAGTTTCTCTAGATGGAGTTTGAAATCAATGTCAAGGACAGCATACATACAGAAGATGCTGTTCATTTTAATTATAATCAGAGAGAATAAATTTAATTTATTAACTCAACAATTGCAGACAAAACATCATAGAAGTGGTAGATTTATAAAATAGAAATACTTGCATTGATCAACATTAAGAATGTATTTACTCGAATGTATAACTAGTATTAAATTTTAGATTGAATATATATGAAATCTTCAGAATTGTTTACCAGTACATGTAATTGCAGTTTAATGTTTGTTTTAAATACACAATACTGTTAAAGATGTTTAAATATTTCATTCTTCTTTCTGTTATTTAGTCACACGGATCAACTATATATGAATAAAACTAAATATTAACGGTAATATAACCAGTGGCACATTAAATCACTTAAATTTTCCTGTTATTCGCCAACTTGAATTTTTTTTTACAGTTTTTTAGACAATTTATTATGATTTGTGTTTAATAACGGGAATGACTAAATAATTTTGATTTGCTTATCACTTTAACATTGTCATAAAAACTTCGTTACGATGAAAATGAATAGTTAGGATCATGGAATCATACATTTGCAACAATTAATACAATATTCGAGTAGAACATAATGTTATATAATATATCTTTATTGATATTTGATTATATAACACACACAAGTAAAGGCGCATTGACAAACAAAGATGTTAACATTTTGCAAAAATTAATTTTTTTATACAGATTATCTATTATAATCGTTTGAGTTTTCCTATTCTGTTTTCAGCAAAATGTTCTTTTTTCATAGTTTTAAAACATTTTATCAAATGCCAAAAAAAAATATTAATGCTTAGACACATACACACTTAATATTTAATAATTCATGACAGGAGTAACAATTGTCTGCGAACAATTTCAAAATATAAAATCACATTTCACACAAAAGCATGTACACATACGAGAAAAATCAGACTTTTAACATGAGCCATCAATGGATGAGCATTGTACAGAAACCCTTGCTTGTCTGAACGCTCGTACCTCACACCTTAGACTACAGATTACCTACCGTGATCTACTATTCCGTCAAAAAACCATGGTTCACAATAGGACAAAAATGAGACGAATATAATAAAAATAAATAATCTATCCATGTTTGACAACAAATGAAATGATGATGCAGTTTTAGATAGGCAAGTTATATGTAGACAATCAGTATACTATCAGCTTGTCCAAACTAACATGTAGACAGTCCAGCATCGTACGATGTGATACATATATGTTTATCTATAAACCAAAATAAAAGCCATCATTTACATTAAATTGATAATGAAAAGGGATGATTTGTTTGTTGACAAGTCCTTCAGTTTTATTATTATTATTAATATCATTTTTATCATTCTTGTTATATTATCGCTATTATTACATTGTATAATTTAGTCGTTTTGTCGTGTGATTATTAGGGAAGAGGAGAAATCCTTACGGAATCTACAACACTCTTTGTCATTATACGTGATAATTAATCGTTGATCGATCTTTAGTTTTATATGGTGACTGTGTGGTGTGTACTGTTTGTCTTTTCGCCGTTTTTCTTTTTTTTGCCATGACATAATATTGTCAGATTGTTTTTTGTCTTTTCGCCGTTTTTCTTTTTTTTTGCCATGACATAATATTGTCAGATTGTTTTTTGTCTTTTCGCCGTTTTTCTTTTTTTTGCCATGACATAATATTGTCAGATTGTTTTTTGTCTTTTCGCCGTTTTTCTTTTTTTTTTGCCATGACATAATATTGTCAGATTGTTTTTTGTCTTTTCGCCGTTTTTCTTTTTTTTGCCATGACATAATATTGTCAGATTGTTTTTTGTATTTTCGCCGTTTTTCTTTTTTTTGCCATGACATAATATTGTCAGATTGTTTTTTGTCTTTTCGCCGTTTTTCTTTTTTTTGCCATGACATAATATTGTCAGATTGTTTTTTGTCTTTTCGCCGTTTTTCTTTTTTTTGCCATGACATAATATTGTCAGATTGTTTTTTGTCTTTTCGCCGTTTTTCTTTTTTTGCCATGACATAATATTGTCAGATTGTTTTTGATTTATACGTTTGAATGTCCCTTTGGTATATGTCGCTTTTCTTTCAAAATACGGAATCAGAGCTATACATTCCTTAATTTGAAATGATTTCCTAATTTTATAACATAAAATTCAAATAAAACAGTATCTGTTTTTTTCATGCCAAAACCGAAGTACTAGATCTTGGGCCAATTGTGGACTACCATAGATATAGTAATAGCATTATAAAGTTTGTGCGTCTGAAGCGCTTTTCTGGATTTACCTTCATCAAGTATTCTCAAACCTAAACAATGCCAAGCCAGGAATACCTAAATACGCTGAAACTTTAGGAGCAAGCTGTATGACCAAAAAAATCATTAGTGACTTAGTAATTTCTTATTCTACGAACGGGGATTTCAATATAAGTGTATGTTTTAAATCATGTCAGTACCGAAGCAATGACCACTGAGCAAATAGTGTACCATTGTGGACTAACATTCCACCAGCAGTATCGACCCAGTGCTAGTTAATGAAATAAATACTAAATATTTCGTGCGTCAGAAGAGCTTAACTGGATTTACCTTCAACAGAAACGCTCTAACTTAAACATTTAAAAGCCAAGGGTGCGTAAATACACTAAAACGTAGGGAGTGATATAATAGGCGGACTGTTCATCCGCGACACTGACCCACTGGTAGTTATATAAACGTGTCATACCGATTTCTGTGAGTGCAACTGTATATATATATATAGGTTTGAACGTTGTTTTCAATTTAGACTTGTATATATATATATATATAGCATTTATCAGTGTTGAACACAGGCGCTTTGGGCATGTACCCGCCTCCTTTTCTCTCTATATATATATTTTGTGTTTTATTTATTTAAATATTTTAACTTATTTTCACTTATTTAATGTATTCCTGCTCTTATCCGTAGTTTATATAAGATGTCCCTCTTTTAATCATAATTTTCCAGTAGATGCAAAATGTTTTAAAAACAGACATTTGCATTATTTTTATCACCGTGTTCTTCAACAGCCATGATCAACAGCTGACTGTGCGGTATGGGCTTTGCTCATTGTTGAAGGCCGTACGGTGACCTATAGTTGTTAGTTTCTGTGTCATTTGGTCTCTTGTGGAGTGTTGTCTCATTGGCAATCATACCACATCTTCTTTTTTATATAGCATGAATTTTGATTGTATAGAGTTGTTTAAAATACATCTATAAGGTTTAATCACTTTCAGATTTTAACTCCTTAAATGAAAGAAGTGTATTTTTTATTGTAACATAGCATTTTATCAAAATGTGGTGAGAAATACTATTTGTTGAAATACTAGTATATATGAATAATAATGCTGTACATAGTTAATTGTAATCCAGATGCAAACTAAAATTTTCGAGCTGATTTGTAATTTATTAAGTTTGAAAAGTATCTATAGAAAATAGAATCTATTTGAATTGATAATATTAGCTTCATGTCTATCGAGGTCAAATTATAGTCCGTAAAACGGTTTTATTAATATTGAATAAACTAGATCAATAAACACACTGCTGCTGGTGCACTGCAACTACTCGAAAGTATCATAAGCTCAGTATAGTCATTGATGTTCTGTTATGATTAATGACATGTCATCATGCCTGTCTTAAATTCTCGATTAGATTAAACACTTTATAAATTATTTAAAAAAACTCCCTAGTAGGCAAAGTTGACCATACCAAATAGGTTAATTTAACTAATGCCCTTGTTGGTCATATTGCTTCCCCTGAATTAAAGTTTGTAAACAGCCTTGTCTTTCAAATGTTTAAGCGTTCGTGACATAAAGTTAAATAAAAACAGTCGCTTCGGATGTCCCAAATTTATAAAAGTGTTATATTGAATCATTTTCGAAACCTTATCTCATTATGTTATATAGCAACATACCAAGTGCACACAATCACGAGTTAAAAATAGTTTCACGTTAATCACAGATCAAGCTCCATGCGATTAGAGATTAAAAAAGTATGCTGTTTGCATTAAATTAAAAACTCAGAAAACAAATTAAAACTATTTTCTTGGAGAGAAGTTCAAAACAATAGATTAAGGAGACGAAATGATACGAAAGTAGGTGTATACATGCAATTAACATTTTTCACGAGAATAGTCCATTTAAGATAAACACTGAACTGCTTTTTAAAGTGAACACAATAAAGCATTATTTTTTCTCTTCTGTTTGAAAACAAACAGTGTACAAAATGTATAACCTACATTTAGTTGTTATCTTGTTTGCGGACAAAATTCGATTACTGATTTCACACTCGGATATATGTTCAAATGTACTTGCGAGGTCAATTTCATAACATTTTTTTTAAATAAAATATGTTTCGAAAATTTGTTAAGAAATACTATTGAAATATATATATTTCGTTTGAAATGGTATTTTAATAGACATATAGGAGTATAATGCTTTTTGGGAATCCCAATTTTGTCATTAACATCACTCCTTATTAATTGATCACACAACGTGTTAGGCATTTCGTGTTACAGAGTGGCTTAACACTTACATCGCTGACTATTTGTAACTTGTTCAAGTGTTTGTATCTTAATTTGTGTTATATTACTCCCTGTCACATAAAACCGCCGTAATAGTTGACCTTAAAGTCTAGTACAATCACTGATAATGAATGAATTTGTTTATTTACATTTCATATCTAAAATCATACTGTACATATATTCATGTCAGAAATGGCAGGAGATAATTGGCACATGTTCATCAAAATCGTACCATATAATTTCCTTTCTTTTCCAATTAGATTGATTGATTGATGTTTGCTTTACGTCCAGTGGCAAAAATTGCATGCATGTTCAGGACGAGAACAAATTGATAATACATACAATACGTAGGTCTTATAATTAAAAAGGGCCGATCTGTATGATATGCGGGGAATTTGGACTGCCACTAGAAAAAAAAACTAAAAATTAGCCTTACAACAGGCCACCTATGGACCCTTCAAAGAATTGCTGCAATAGTTCGAGCGTGGCACTTTCTCTACACGAGGTATCGGATTAAACATCCCTATTCTGACCGGACATTGCTGTGTATTTATACATCACTCACAACCAAACGGACGCCCCACTTTGACAAGGAAGTGTTTTACTGTCGATCGGAAGAAGAACTAAAGATACCATATTTCTTTTTCTAGTCACCAACATTCATAAATTAAAATGTCATCCTCATTATTGTGCTGTTCGTATTTTTGGACACCTTAATTAGTCTTTTAAAAAGCTAGTGGTTTGATGATGATTGACGTCAAAAGAAAATTCTTCTTCATTAGATTTCCCAGAGGACATCATCCTTTTGTAACTCTCAACTAGTTTGATAGAAATTGACACTTTACTTGATTTTTTTTTGTTCTCATCATCATTAATATAGAATATGCATCATACGGTTTATCTATTAGGCGAAGATTGGGAATTTATTTGTTTTTCCTCAGCTTGCGGAGTTTCTTATGTGTGAGGTAAAGAAAAGTACAAAAACAAAATTATATGATTTTTTTTTTAAATCAATGAATTTGGATTTATAAGGGGAAATGTGTGAATTGTTGTATTTTTAGATTGAAATCACAATATTTTATATTGACGTGGAATTTGCTAGTTAACATTATTGAAAAATAATAATTTTCAGGTTTGAAAAATGCTCCTGACTGAGAGTATAAAATGTGTAGATTATAAAAGGTGTGTTTTGTTCTTCCTTACTTGAAGGAAGGTTCATTTTTGTAATATGTGACGACGCCATACAAATATACTGAGTTAAAACTCCCATCGGTGGTCTTGTGGCAGTGTGCTCGCCTAAAGTGCGGGAGCTCGTGGGTTCAATACCGGTATCCTAGTATTGGAAAATTGGCATTTGCTGCTTCTCCGCAAAGCACCCGGCATTTAGGAGTTAAGACAAACACTGGTAGGCCCGGTGTCCAAGTAGGATGAAATGTCTTCCGATGAATTTGTGAACTATCACGTTAAAATTCCGGCTCAGCGTGTTGATCTAGTACCATGCAGGGTTCATATTCCTATCTCATTTATATGTTCTCGACCTGATATGCATGCAATGTTTGTCACTGTTTGTTGAATATTTGTCCATTATCAACATCATTTAAAGCCTGTATAAATTTGTGAAAAGATTAAAACAGGTTTGATAATTTACATCAGCTTGAATAAAATTGTTGTTGCATTCTTCGATCATACATGTCCAAGACATACCAAGATGTCGATATCGTCGATATCGACAATGTCGACACAATTTCGGATCGATATCGATGTACTCATACACTCATATCATAACCAGATGTAGATTTTGATGACGACACCAATGACAAAACCTGATGTTGATATCGTCGACTCGATATCGACTCGATATCGATGATGACTTAAGATAATGAATAAAAATAAGACATAACAAGCTGATTATATATATAAATTAAGACCGAAGATTGATATAAGGATAGATGATGGCTGAATTGTAATCTATTTATTTTTTTAAAAGACAATCAGGTGGTCACTTCTCCAAAGTAATGTATCCTTTAAAACACATTAATGTATTCTTCAAAAAAAAAAAAAAACAAAATGTTTGCTTGTATTACATTGACAATGGCTGACATGGTAATTTAGGTGTTAACTAAGTGAGATATGGTTGCATACAAAGATCTAAAAATGCAGATATAGTACAAACATGACTTGCTATGTAAAATTCAAATCCATGGAATGTGAACTTGTTCCCATTTCAAACAGAGAAAACATGGTTTATCTATTGGTTGAAATTAGATTTTAACTTTATTTGAATAGTTTCGAGTACTCTTAGATCGGTACTTTGTGATTTTGTCTATTTGTTAAATTTTATGTATTAATGCTATACCACCGTCATAGATTTAAGGGAAGTTTTAACGAACAAGTTTAACCTCGCCACATCCTTATTGTGATTGACCCTTGTCGGGAGCTCTTTGATTAACTGGTTGTCGTCCGTTGCTGTCGGTCATTTTTGATTTTTGTTTATCATTTATACATAAATCAGGATGTTTGTTTTTGCCATTTGAAATATTTGATATTTTGTTATGCCGGTAATATCGTTAATCTTTGTTGTGAAGACTGTTAGGTGACGTATAGTTGTTAACATCCTCATTCTTTTTGTGTTTGGTGGTCTGTTGTCTCATTGCAAATCGTGTTTGTGTGTAATTAAGGTACGTATACTAACTAAAAGAAATAAATAGAGAAACAAATTATGAAGAAAATGTTTAAATGTTGATATGGAATTGATATCGTCGACATATTTAAACAGACGAACTAGGAGAAACCAAATTGTCTATATAGATAATTGTAGCAGATAAACATTTGGAACATGTGTCGATATCGTCGATATCGACATCTTAAAACAGACGAAACAGGAGAAACTAAATTGTCTACACAGATAACTGAAGGAGATAAACATTTAGAACATAATTTTCCGATATCGACACGATGTCGTCGATATCGACGATATCGACATCTAAAAAGACGATCTGGGAGAAACTAAAATTGTTTAATATATACATAAATGTAAAACAGATAGACATTTGGAACATAATGTGTCGATATCGACATCTTAAAACAGACGACCTAGGAGAAACCAAATTGTCTATATAGATTATCGTAGTAGATAGTCATTTGAAACATAATGTGTCGATATCGACTTGATATCGTCGATGTCGTCGATATCGACATCTTTATTAGACGAACCAGGAGAAACTAAATTGTCTATATAGAAAAATGTAGCAGATAAACATTTGGATCATTATTTGTCGATATCGACTCGATATCGTCGATATCGAGACTACATTGTGTCTTGGACATATGCATGCAATGTTTGTCACTGTTTGTTGAATATTTGTCCATTATCAACATCATTTAAAGCCTGTATAAATTTTTGAAAACATTAAAACAGGTTTGATAATTTACATCAGCTTGAATAAAATTGTTGTTGCATTCTTCGATGGAAATATTGGAAATGAAATACTGAATTCAAAATTGTAATAATGATTGTTGTTTATAAAAAGCAATACGAACACTTATATGTACAGCAGAGTCACAAATGATATCTTAAGAAGTATTGTTCCTACGGAAATGAACATCAGTTAGTATTCGACAAGTATTGATCAAAAGGTCGGTTAAACGTTTTGGGGTTAGGTTTTCCTAACTTTGGTCAATCCTAGGACTAGACTTAATAAAAATAAGGAGATGTGGTATGATTGCCAATGAGACAACTAGCCACCAGAGTTCAAATGACGTGAATGTAAGCAAAAATAGGTCAGCGTATGGTCTGCAACAAGAAGAAAAGAAGAAAAACTCATACCGTATAGTCGGCTATAAAAGGTACCTACATGAAAAATTAGGACAGGCACATAAAGAATGTGGCGGGTTAAACATACTTGTGAGTTTTAACCCTCCCTTCACCTGGAACAGCTGTGTAACAGCACAACGTAAGAACAAACTGTAAAAATCAGTTACAAAGGGCTTAACTCAATAGATCGATACAAAGTGCTAAAATGACCAACGTAAAAACAATAGACACAAAGCACCGATAAACGATCAAGTACTCGCATTTACAGAAAGCTTGTTCAAAGCCAATTACAGCTAACAAATAAATCATGTTCTCCCAGAATATACAGTATTAATCAGTACACAAACAACAGATTTAACATAAACTCTTCATAATCAATCTGAGAAACGCATTTACACTGCCAAAATATATAAGTAAACAGTAGCGACAGGGTGTAGGATCATGAGTTTTCATACATGTACCTGTACAGATATATTATATATATTTGTTTTCCTTTAATTTTGCATTGATTCATTTATAGTAGACCGTGTTTATATACTCTCGAGAAAGGCAAACTAAGAACCAACATGAACAAATCAAATAAACAAAAACAAACAAACAAACAAACAAACAAACAAACATACAAACAAACATACAAACAAACAAACAAATATACAAACATACAAACATAGCAAAAACGAAATGAAATCGTCGAATACATCATACATTTACATATGAGAGATGAAACCATATGTGTGATTTAGCCAAGAAAATATTCAGATAAGATTGCCAACGCTAAAGGTACTATAACGCTTTTCCATTTGTTTGAACCGGTTTAAAAGACAAAAACAAGTTAACAAATTATGTCTAAGCAACCCCCTATAGTCGACAAAAACCGGCAGACCCATGAACAGTCGTTGCTATAAAAACAATATCTATTGAATTCCGGGGTGCAGTTTTACCAGTAATTTTTCAGACTTTTGGGAAAATTTATATTGACGGATTATCTTTGGTTTGCTTTTTATTTATTTTTTTTTTTTTATTCTTAACAATTTATTGTTTGAAAAGTTATATAAACAGTTCATATATCCGAATGCTGGATTTCCTAGGTTTATTGTGTATCAGGGTTGCTGTCTCTTTGAAATATACCCAGCATCCATTTTATTCATATTATAGTATAAATTCACTTATATTTAAGGAATGACTGTAGTATTTTTTCTGTCTATGAAGAAATAACATCAAAAATGTGGTGCACACTGAATAACCCGCGTAGCGGGTTATTTTAAAGTGTGCACCACATTTTTTGATGTTATTTCGAATAGACAGAAAAAATATTACAGTCATTTCTTATAATTTTATTCTTAATTCCACTTTAAACCGGAGTAAATCATGAAAAAACGTTGATGACGTCAAGGTCACATGACAAAATTATGTCTATGAGCTGATAAACAAAACAACGTCAGCCAATCGGAAGACGCGTTACATCCAAAATTAAATTATATATATATATTATTGAGAAACTACCCCTTTACAACGGGGACAAGCGCCAGCGGGGTACTGACACCTGCGTCATCAAAAACATAGTATTTACAAACAACATTATATGATTGTAATAAAAATGGTACAAAATACTTGCAAATATTTAAAAGTCTAATAGATAAATTAATGCTAAAATAACATAATTTGAAATTTTATCAAGTACAAAGGACGTTCATTCATAACGTCTGTAAGATATTTTTTCCCGATCTTATCTAAACCATTTCCTAAGTCTAGAGAATACAAGTAACCCAGATCACCTATCATGAACTCTATTTGTGCTAAGGGCGGCAACTCTGAAAAGCAGATATCCATTTTTAAACTATCGAAACATGCTTGTGTGTCACTTTAATACAGTTAAATAACTCTTTCATATGAACCGAAGATTTTTTATTTGATAAAAGTGCAATTATCCAATAGACTTTCCACAGCCCTGGTTTAATCGGTGTATAAAATTCAAAAGAATATATTCCAGTTTCTTTCTAGTTTTGAATCTGATAAAATTGACAATTCTTATTTAGAAAAGTTCACATTTAAATTATCGTTTTTTACATAAATTAAACTATCAACTAATGAATGAAATATAACAACATAAGTATTTAATTTTCTCAAAATGAAATCTAAGCAATGAATTCCATTTCCAGAAAGCATAGATGTATACACTTACGGTGAAAGCAACTGATATTCATATTTCATGAATATTCTTGCCTGCGTAAACATAAAGGGTTAATTTGTTCTCATGTTATCTTTGATTCATTTGCATTTCACCATGTTCAATGTTCGGACATTCGATGACCGATAAGAACACGTACGAGAAATCAAGATATCGAAATTTTGTTATTGTACAGTTTAACAAAATTCGGACACATACAGTCATTGTTTTTAAATTTCATTGTATACATGATTTGTTTTGGTAGTTATCTAGAAATGCCATTATTCCCCCGGTCATTGTTTATCTACATGTTTATGTTGATAAGGTACGACTGAATCTATATAAAGTGAATGCAAACTCATATGTACATGTGAAAAATTAGAATAACTCAAAAATGGAAACAGTATTATTATGCTTAAGCTTTTTCGTTGTACTATTAGAGGCAAATGTCATCTTTAACAAAGGTAAGACACTTTAATTTGCAGAATACATTGATTGGTTGATTAGTGTTTAAAGCCACTTTCAGCACTATTGTGCTATCTCGTGGTGGTCAGTTTTTATTCGTGGAGGAATAAAGATGCGGAAATTATACAACAACCAAAAAACAACAAAGAAAGACATCTATAGGTCAACAAGTGTTGTTTTGTTCAATTTAAGCGGTTTACATGTTTTGGGTTGTCCTGTGTTCTTGTGTTGCAATTGCATTGAAGTTTATCCCTCATTTTTATATAATATATAAAGTATGTTAATTTCTACAATTGGTCTATTCGCCAGTTGATTGTATTTTTCGCTTTATTCATGGTTCGTTTTTGTGGTTATAGAATAGTATGTATTTTTGTTCTTTAGTTAACTAAATTAAAGCCTGATAGTATATTGCAGGACTTGCATATTAATTTGCCCGTCGTATTTTCTTTATTCACGTTTACTCTTTACAGCTGATATAACTCGTTGTCCTCCAATTCTTCCTCGGAACTCAAACTTGTTTGCCTACATAGACACATGCTTTGAAATGGTTCACGACGAACATTCATGGAATGATGCTAGAAGACACTGTCAGCAACATGGCGGAGATTTAGCTGTCATCAAAGACCTAACAAAACAACAGTTTGTAATGAATGCTTTGAAATATCTTCGTTGGGACAAAAAGGGTGTCTGGATCGGCGGAACAGACGGAGACAAGGAAGGGGAATGGAAGTGGGTCACAGGTAAATATCACGTGTCAGTAATTGGACCAAGTAAGCACATATGTTCACCTTACATAACTGCATATTGTCACAGAAATCAATATCAGTATTTCTGTATAGTTAATCTATTTTCGAATGGTGAATTTCCTTAAATTGTACAAACAAAATTGAGTTTAATATTGAACAAAATATAACTCGTCTAAGAATGATTTGAAACATTTCAAACTAAGATGATATTAATTTTTGTTTTTAATTGAAGAAAAGCTTATAGAGAATTGTTAAATTCAAAATATAAAGGACATGGAAAACAATTTGTATCTACACGTTTTCAAAATATGTTTGTTATATCAAAAGTAAGCGAAATAAATATTTATATTTGATAAGGAGAACAGATGACCTGGGGTTACTGGCAACATGGCCAAGGAGTGACTCAAACTGGATTCCTGTTTGCAAAGGGGACTTTTGAGGACTGTGCTCAGATCCGTGTTGATGACTCTTATAAATGGCATGATTTTCCTTGCAGTGGTGGCCCAGCTTATCATTATTCGAGTATTTGTGAATATAGTAAGTATTATCTAGATTTCAAACGGATAAATACCTATATGCCAATGTTAATACATTGAAACAAATCTTTACTAACGAACAGCCGGGATGTACCTCCAAAATATAATGTAAGGTTGGGATTTTTTTTCATTCCCCTTTTCATGACGTAGATTGTACGTATATACAATGTATTAGACATAAATCCCTATAACTTAATGAAAATATACCCCCTGAAGTTTCAATGAACACACCATTGCAACGATATGTAACTTCGTGTTCTGACACGTCTTACCATCGTTAATACATGTACCTTTGCAGTTAAATGCAGGACATTTCTTTTAAACGATCGCGCGAATGCACGAATTTTGAAGAGGGAAAATATAAATCGGCCAATTATGTGGTCTCTTCAATTCAAAAAGTAAATAGTATTATATATCCATCAATAACATCCTCCAGATGTTTGCAAGATACTTGTCTTTCAGACATTCATAAAAAAGTGATTTTTGTAATTCAGTTGCTTTGAATCTATATACTTCTTGTATTTTCGGGGGGGGGGGGGGGGGGGGGCTGCATTTGTCTCGTATTCTGACCTTTCACTTTTACATAAAATGGAATTCAAAACCTGGATTTAATATTTAAAGAAAAAAACAAAACAAAAATAGAATAGAGGAAAAGTATTTTTTTCAGTAGTACATGCATAAAGGCATAATTACCCATTACATATAGCATGACATGTTTCACCTGCTTCCCCATTCGGAGCACCTGAACCCATCACCGATTTTTGTCAATCTTAAGTTTTTTGTACTGTGTTTTCTGTACTGTTGTTTGTCTTTTTGTTGTTATCCTTTTGGTCATGTTGTTGTCAGTTTTATTGGACCTATAGATTTTTATTGCCTAAATGTTTAAATCTCTTACCTTTCACTTTCGAAGTATTAGAAATAAACGGTAGTGTGACAAGAATTCTTCTGTATGACTCTTTTAATAAAACAAACGCAAGAAGAAACCGAGAGGACAATCAAAACTAAAAACCAAAACCTCTCTCTTAATAATTCAAAGGTGACTTTCTTGATGGCTTCTTTACAATACAACTTAAAATAAAGGATACCATAGATGCAATAAGGTTTGCATCATATTTTTAACACCTTGAAATTGACATGTATGCAAAGACAACATCAATTCGTTTCAACACATTTATGCAGACATTGTTTTGTAGGGTGCATACATAATTGTTTAACAATAATTTATTTTACAACAAAAGCAACACACGTATTTTTCAGAAATGCCTAAAATTTTGACATCTCCTACAACTATGACGAACGTCGAAACGCCTGTGCCAACAACTATGCCTAAGACAGGAACATCAACTTCAACCACGTTAGCAAATTTTGAAACACCAGCACCGACAATTCAGCCAAACGTGGAAACACCAGCACCGACAATTTTGCCAAACGTTGAGACACCGGCCCCTACTTCTTTACCAAATGTTGAAACACCCGCACCTAATAAAGATACAACAGCATTTACAATTAGGATGAATAACAATCCTCCTAGTGCTGTAATAGTTAATAAAGAATCCGTCGTTATCGGCTGAGGAAAATGAAATAAGTTTGGTGATTTAAATTGCGATTACTTTTTAAATTATCTGTGCATAATATATGTATATAAAATGAAGCATAGTTACGCCTGTCCTATATGGTATTTGTTATTTTTTTATTATTTGTAAATAAAAGTTTGTTTTGTTTGTCAATATAACTATTTTGCCTCACCAATGTCGATGTGCACCTCTTTTCTATTTATGCGACCCATAAATAATATAATTTGCCTAGTACACTAAGTTATTTTCAGCATTTTGTTTGAATAAGAGGCATATCCACATGGCGTCCTCTAGAGGTATATTTTTGGCACAGTTGTTCTATGGATTGATCAATATGCATGAATGAGATGTGAAGTATACGTAAGTCTACTGTCCGTCCATTAATAAAAAATTTAAAAAAGACACTTATAGGTCAATTTACACAGAGACGGCTTTCTATCACGAAACGGTCCATAGCTAGCTATAGTCTAGACAATTTTACATTAAAGAGAGTCTACGCAAGGGATATAACTTTAGACAAGATCAGCGTAAATAACAATGGTACAGAGAAAACAACAAAAGAGCTCGACGGTGAAGTGTTCTCCTTCAAAAATGAATATAACTAAATAGAAATGATGTACTCGCACAGCAAGTGTCAACAGTTTAGAAAAGGAAGATAACACGTATGTCAACGAAAATATTTGTTTCAAAGATACAATAAAATATATAGCGTTTACTTAATTATTGAACATCAATTTATATTGTGCCATTTATGTTATATTACAGTTAAAATGAATACACTTAATTTATTTCATTTTATATATTTCTTATTTATTAAGTAAATCATGTAAATCATATACCGAATAACGTTAACAACATTGCACTTTTATCAAGATGACAATGACGCAAATTGTATTACTATAATTACATACAAGGATGTGTGTCACGTTCTATTGTGTCTATTACACGTATTTATATAGAACAATGTTCTTATCTTTAATCGTTCGATTATAACTGCATAGAAACAAATACGAAGTTATTACAAAGAAGAACGAATTGAAAAGCTAAAATGTATCAGGTGGCTAAATGGTTCAATGATCAATTGACGGTTTGCATATCGAAACATCCTTTGAATGAAATCACTGAGCTCTTGATTATTTCATCTACACAGATAAATTAATATAGTTATTCACTATGCGGGTGCCACATGTGGAGCAGGATCTGCTTGCCCTTCTATAGCACCTGTGATCACCCTGGTTTTCGTTGGGGTTAGTATTGCTCAGTCTCTAGTTTTCTATGTTGTGTTTTGTATACTGTTGCTTGTCTTTTGGTCTTTTTCTTTTTTTGCCATGGCGTTGTCAGTTTATTTTCGACTTATGAGTTTGATTGTCTCTTTGGTATCTTTCGCCTGCATGTCTTCTTATTCGATTCGCCGCCAGAACAAAAGGTATTCTCATACCACATCTTCTTATATCTATATAAAATTAAAAAATGCATATTGAGAAATCGAAGGCTTTTGTCGAAGCTTTTACATCTCTGTCGACACATACAGCCGATATTCGATCAGTTGTATGTCATGGCATGAAGCAAACATAGTACTATAATTGCATTTTTTATCAAGTTCAATATAGAGATTCGTTCAACGTAGTCACCATATTTTGAATGTTAAATGATAATGCTAGATCCGATTCATATTTCCTGATATTTGTAAAAGGTATATATATATATATACTGAAGGTTGATCTTCAGAAGGAACGTAAAACAGACCTATGATTGTTCGGGATTTTTTTTATAGTTGTTGGGGCTAAGTGTAAGATTTAGATTGCATTGACATTACATTTTTTTCTGTAACAATATAAAAATAAGGAGATGTTGTATGATTGTATATGAGACAACTACCCACAGGAGACAAATAGATGAGAATGTAAACACAATTACAGGTCACCACACGGCCTATAACAATGAGCAAAAGTCATACCGTATGTTAAGCAATAACAGTCCTCAGAATGACAAAATATGAAACAACTCAATAGAGAAAACAAACAGCTTAATGCATGGTTGCTGTCCGTCCTTAATGTTTTTCGTTATTAGAAAAAAGAGAACATCTCTATTACGATTGAATTACTTTGGAAGTAAAGACAATTTAAAAGAAGAATTGTGGTTTAGTAAAGAATGACCCTCTAATGCATTTAAAAAAAATACTCTTCATATTCCAAAATTTATCACAAATAACAGTTTTGACCTAGTACATGTATCTTCAGGCATCCATAATTTTGTCATAATTATGTTTAGAAATAAACTATGATTTTGTTAGAACCTCATAGTATACATAGAAGAAACAGTGAACTTGTGAATTTTATGAAAAATTGTGCCTTTTCGAAAATGATCCTCGTTAGGAATATTTTCACAAGAAACCGGTCCTAACTATTGTATTGAATCGCATAGGATCCGTAGCAAGGGTCCGAAACATACTTTAAACAGAATTGTTTTCAGTTTAGGAGGGTGTAGTAAAAATAGGGATGATTACACAAGGGCACTGCATAAATTATTGAATATGATGTATAAAGACGATGACCACGTCTACTTTGGGAGGCTAGTTGAAAACATTCATCACATTGATAGATCTGGGGAAGAATTTAGAGAATACCTATAAAAGGCCATAATCAATTTTCCCATTTAAAGAAGTGTGTGGCAGTTAACATTTTTGGAGCATCTGGGATCATCCCCCGGTTTTTGGTGGCGTTCGTGTTGCTCAGTCTTTAGTTTTCTGTGTTTTTTGTCTTATCGTTGTTTTTCGTTTCTTATTTTTGTAATGAAGTTGTCTGTATTTTTTCGAATTATGAGTTTGAATATCCCATTGGTATCTTCCGCCTCTCTTTTGTAACAGTGGTATGTTTTGGAACTGTTTTGAGGCCAAGATCATTATTTTGATATTTTTGATGATCCAAAATAGCATATAAAAAGGATTGACTGATCAGATTGACAAAAATGCTGATTACAATGCTACTATATCATTATTGAAACGGCAACATGTATATATAAGAACAGTAAGTCTTACATTTGATTTAGGATATCCGTCAGTTACTGTATACAGCAACCCCATGAAACAAAAACCAGTAAATATCTAGTCTAAGAGATCAACATATGCTCTTCAACAAATATACAAGTATCTATACAAATTGTCAAACTCTAAATCGTTCCTAGTTTACTGAAGTTATTATTATCTTCTGGAAGGTAGCATGATTAATGGATGGGTCAATTAGAGTCTATACACTATGGTCCTGAAAAAGATTTAACTACTTGGCGTCGACAATATGGCGGTAATAAGACTTTTTTAAGTTTTCGTTCTTCTCGGGAATTTTAGTATCACATCAAGAAGGAGTATACAATTCCTGCAAATTTGTATAATTAATAACCGAAAAGTATGATGAAAAGTCAAACAAATTTGCAAAATCCATCTGTTAAAAACCAATAAGTTTCATAAGCTTCAGGAGCTTATTAGGTTGTACCTGACTAGTGTTAATTTAACAGACACTTCTAAAGATCTGCCATCAAAATCAAGTTTGTAAAATGACTAAAACATTAAGACATCGCAAAAGACAACCACTGCCGATCTTCCTGGTTTTGGACGGAACTATGATTGTCAGAATTATTGCAGGTTTTGAGACTTCCCCGTTTTCATTTTCGTTCAGCAGAATAACAAAAGTTACTAAATAACGTACAAAAATTTAACCTAAAAGTAAAATTCAAAATTGTCTAGATTCAAAAGTACTTGTTTTTTGAAAAATAATTCATGATATTAGAAGACTTCTATTATCTTATCCAAGACAATTAGACAACTTTCCATCAGAGACCAAATGAAAAAGAAATTTTAAAACAACTATAGGTCATCGATCGGCCTTCAACAATGAGCAAAACCCATACTCAATTTTCAGCTATAAAAAGCCCAGAAATTACAAATGTAAAAAAATTCAAACGAGAAAACTAACGGCCTGATTTACCATGGTCGCAGTATAGCAATTATTCCAATTAAGATATTCATCTATTGACCTGGATGGCATGCCCCCCCCCCCCCCCCCCCAAAAAAAAACAAAAAAAAAACAACAACAACTCACAAATGACGAACAATACCGTAGTCTAAAACCTAATAGTTTGACGGAATTATACCGATTAGGATCAAGCGTATCCCTTGTGAATAACGTGAAGACCATTTGTTGCATGTTTATCCATAATTACTGGTTTGCCTAAACATACTATTTATAATTTTCCATCTATAACCAACAATAATATGCGGGATGAACTCCCGAAAATTATTGTTTTTTTTTAATATAAGTTGATATTATTAATCGAATATTTATAAGGATTTGTGATTCGCTTAAACTTGATCACATGTAGATTTGTATTTACTCAGTTTGCACGCCAATACTGTTGTGTTTAGCTTTTCGTAGGTCAAAAAAAGCATATTGCACGGGGCATACAGCATGTTACTAAAAATACTTTCTAGAAATACCCAAATTTTACATTGTTCATGCAATAGTTGTTGATTGATAATATAACAATTGTAGCCTTTGGTTGGGGTCAATACGATGTTATATCGACCAAAAGAAGCATATCGACCTCGGACTTCGTCCTCAGTCAATATGCTTCTCTTAGGTCGATATAACATCGTATCGACCTCATATAAAGGCTATAATTGTATAATATTGCAGGTTTACCTATCATCATACTTTTCAGTATTCGGATATACAAATTTGCGAGAAATCGTATGCTCCTCAGATGCAAATTAGAGGGATATCGTAACTATGCTCCTTTGTGACGTATTTCGAAAAATTCCCCAGAAGAACGAAAATTGGAAAACTTGTATCCCTTCCAAGTTGTTGAAGGTTTTTCTGGACCACTAGTGTTTAAACCAAAATCGATCTTTGTATCACTTCTTGTGTCTTCGGAGAATATCAAAATACTTGATTTGATTATCATACTATTTTTTATTTAAATGTACTTCAATGTAATGAAAAAAATAGAGATGCACGGTATAAATGAGGTAGCTACCCAACGATACAAAAACATGTTTAGGTTATTATACGGTTTAAAGCCTTGTCCATGAAAACCATGCAAAATGCAGAACCTTGAAAAATGTACATACAATTTCATCTTTTAAAAATTAACCTGAAATGACAATAAAAAGCTTGTTCCGGTCATGAAGGTATGAAAAATTCTCATGAAATTATCTTGTAACCACATATATTAATATTGTTAATAATCAGGCTTCCAAACATTCATATCTATGTGATTCATTCTATATACTATTAAATAATATTATTCACACTAACTTCTCGAAAAGCTACAAAAAGATATTTTTGTCAGAAAATGCTACAAAAAGGTAGAAAATATTTTGTAAATACTGTATATATATGCCGAATATAGTAGTACCGTGTGTTTTAACAACACAATATAATTTAGTTTCGAAACAGCCAGTATTGAAATATTTCATATTGATTATATACCCATATCAATATCACCCGATTGTAATCATGTATTAACAAGGAACACTTTTGCTGAGAAAATGTATATGAATAAAAAGAGATAATTCAACGAGACAGCAATGAAACGACAAAAAAAAAGACATACAGTGTATAAAAAACAAAAGACATGTCAAGCTTAAAATCATCCCGACTCTATACAAATTTGTGAATGCTGCAATGAGTTGTGATCGTTTGGACCTGTTGACGGACCCATTGCGACTTTGAGATGAAGAACGGCGATATGTCAGCTGTGATCTTATAAGCAAAGATGTTGTGGAATCATGGAATCGGAATGAGTTATTATTAAAAGAGGACAATTAAACATTTGTTCAAAAGTACTTCACACAATACAATAAATTTGAAGTCTTTTAACAACTTAAGAACAGAATGGCTTAGAATGCATGCGACAATTATTACAATTATTTATTATTTTATATTTTGACTGCTATGATGAGTACAATTTCATTGTGATAGCCTTATTCAATTTAGAAATATAATCAATATAGGTCATATAATCAATGGCATTGTCGTTTCATATAAACATTTCAATTGTTTTGTAAATTGATAATTATAGATGAAATAAATAGAGTTTCAACGGCGCCTCCTGCGCCCAATTATAGCCGTTGGTGGAGGAAGGGTAGAGGTAGGAGTTTCTTTGTTTGGCTGAGGTGTCGTACGTGCTGGAGTTTCAATATTAGGCAGATTTGTTGTTGGTGCTGGAGTTTCAGCTTTTGGAATTGTTGTCGGCGCTGGGGTTTCAACATTAGCCATGGTAGTTGTTGGTGCTGGAGTTTCTGCTTTTGGCATTGTTGTCGGCGCTGGAGTTTCAACATTAGCCATGGTAGTTGTTGGTGCTGGCGTTTCAGCCTTCGGCATTGTTGTCGGCGCTGGAGTTTCAACATTAGTCATAGTTGTTGTTGGTGCTGGCGTTTCAGCCTTCGGCATAGTTGTTGGCGCTGGAGTTTCAACATTAGACATTGCAGTTGTTTGTGGCATTGTTATTTTTGACGACATCACCGTCGTCGTTGCTGATGATGAAATGTTGGTCATAGGAGCAAGCGTTGTAGCCATTTTTATTTTTGCTACAAAAGGAAAATAAATAATTCGGCTGTTTGATCTAATCTTTTAAACATTGCTGATGAGAATATGACAGTGAAAGAAGGTATACATTAAGTATTTTAAGTAATGTCAATAACTGTGGATATTTTGTATTACTGTTGCAGCACTATGTGGAATAAAAATCTTATATGTAATAAAATAACTTTAAACAAATGAAAGCACACGCTTAGAGTGCAATTATTATTACACATAGAGTCGATGGTGTCAACTATATCTATACTTAAAAAAACTATATGTGTTACAAGTGTTACACATAGTGTATGGTAACTGTAACAACTGTTACACATAAAACTGCGAATATAAAAAGTGGCATAATTGAAAATCTTTAACATCAAGGTCCGTGTTAAACTATTTTTTTTACCGTTTTTTTTTTTAAATTTTCTGCTTTCAAGCTTTAACACATTAACGTTGGTTAAAACGGCAACATACCATGCAAACATAATTTGTTTTAGATCAACCATTTTGGTATCTGGAAGGGGCCTGGGATTTTAGTTCGGACGGATAGTTGACAGATATTTTTCGACCTTGAGGCGTTTTGTTTGTTTATTCAAAATTATACATAAGGAATGCAGAGAAACGGGGATATTGAAGTACTAGAACAAATTTTGTTGAGACAATACTTATGATTTTGTGATATGTCATTTCCATTTAGTCCAGTAGATTTCTTTTTGTTTTGTCATCAGGCAAAATTGTTTGCAGCTTAATATTACAAGATTAAATCAGGATGTACAATGTAGGATTTTAAATTGATTCACATTTTCTATCCGGGTGTCTTATTTTACTACGCGATATATATATATATGTTTTGCTCATAGGTAAAGGCCGAAGATGAGATGTTGATTACGTCCTATAGTCTTTTGGTCTTGTGTGGTTGAGAGTCTCCTCATTGGTAAGCATACCATATCTCCTTATTTTGATATGAAAGCACCTTCACTGGTCATGCAGTATGTAGTAGTTTTGTTAATATTTGTGTTCATACTTTTATATATACTGCGGTGAACGGTTATACGTACTGGTGAATGTAATTATAGCTGAAGTTATATTGGGCTATTTTTAACATACAATTGTGCATTGCTGACTGTCTTATTTCCTTTTCTTTGATTATTTAAAGCATAAATCATTGCAGGTATTTGCTTTTTTCATTTGCTTCCCATTTTTGTCATACTGGGGCCTTTTATAGCTTACTATATAAGTTATAAGTTTTGCTCATTCTTAAAGCCACACAGTACCCTAAATAGACATACGGAGATGTGGTAAGATTGCCACTTATAGACAGTCCACAATAGGCAAATCACTTGGATGCAAGCAACTATAGGCAACTGTACAGCCTTCAACGATAATCATTTTTCAAAGTCAGATTATCACGTGCAGATATCAGGAATCCAAGAGCAAAGTCCATGCCGTGTTAAAATATTTCAATGTTAAGATATAAATGTACAGTGTTTGCATTAAATCTAATAAACACATGATCAATCTTAATAAACTACAGACCATGTGAGCATGATTCACCTACAAGGATCTGGCAACGCTCTGGTATACTTTCTATTGTGAAGACCGTTTTGGGGTCCTTGAATTATGACGTAAGGACACATATCTTCATCTTTTTAAGGAAGTTTCATATGTTTACGTAGTTATTATCAGAAGAGAACCTAGAAGGAAGCTTTGACACATGATCTGTATTTCTGTATTTGAATGAAACATATGATATTTATATCTTACGGAATTCACAGGCATACGAATAGGTATAGCCAAAAGCTAGTATTGGTTTACACGGGTAATCATGCCAGTGACCTCCATCATCACGTCGTATGAGAGCGCAATCTTCATTACCACCATTTGCAAACAGAAATCCTGTGTTGTGATTATTTCCTTGTCCATCTGCGAATCGGCTGTAAGAAATCTTGCTACCTACATAAAGAAATAAGATAGTTGCTGTTAGAAAAAAAATATTGACATACTCTGATAAATGAAAAGATTAGAGAGAGTACTTTTAAGTGAAGGGGTTCTTGTTATTTGCAGATGCCAATTAAACACGTGATTTTACCTGTCTCGTTTTGATACCCTTAAAAGTTCACTGAAGATTATTTCCGATGGTGTCTTGTAATAAAAATATGTTATTACATGATGTTGCATTTGCTGAACTATTAAAAAATTCGCGATTGGAATTTTTTTAACTGAATTTTGGTGAAGTAAACTGATTCTTATAGCGTACGAAAATACATATCTTCAACAGCCCCTTACGAAATGTCAATTATTTTAAATGTATTTTTGTAATTCGTTAATGGCTCTATTAAAAATGAGGATTTTAACGTTGCGTTCATACATATTTGTGTAGGAAAACGGAAAACGAATTATTCGTCCTCTATAATCAATAGCCAATGTGGTCGCCCTATGTCCCCAATGGGACGAAGTGGATTAAAGCAAGTATAATCAATTAATATTATAATCTGAAAAGGATGTCCAGTCGAGAGTATCAGAATTTAGAAATAACTATATTCAACAAAACATATATAACAAATTACAGACAAATCATATTATTATGGAGTATTCTTACTATAAATTTATCTTGTATTCATAACTTCTGATTTAACGCCATATTTTTATTTGTGCTTATACATGTATAACTATACTTTCACAGTAAATATTCAAACGGTATATATAGCTATGATTAAAATTATACATACCATCAACCCAGCGCCAGTCACCTTCTCTGCTCTGATCAGTGGCACCTATCCATATATTATCAGTATCCCAGTGATCAAGACGAAGATAATTCAGTAAAAAACTTTGCTTACTGGCATCCTTAACCATTACCAAATCTCCTCCAAGTCTTCTACAATTTGCTCTACCATCTTGCCAGGATTTTTTGTCACGGACAAAAAGTACACAACTGTCAAGATATTCATGAACATACCTTAGAGACCGTATTCTTGATGGGCAGTGTGACAGATCTGGAAAATTGCATTAGTTTTACAATAGCTATAACATGTACACTATTTCATAATTTTAACAGCCTGTAAAGTACTAATATGTATTTTGCTCATTGTTGAAGGTCGTATGGTGAGCTATAATTGTTAACTTCTATGTTATTTGGTCTCTGGTGGAGATTTGTCTCACTGGCAGTAATACCACATCTTCTTATTATTATAAAACGGTATTTTGTAATTGAATACACTTTCATAAATAATAAAGGTCTTTTCCTTCTTCCTTTTCTTTCTTTCTGTGTACGAAAAGTGGTTGTAGCAAATTTTCTCAATCTAATTACCAAATTTATCCATATTTGACGTCTTTGATATAATTAACAGAAAGACAGGCATTAAACAACATTCAATATGTGGAAAATGAAAACACGGACGAAATACTTTTCAGTTGTGTTGGAATTTTATGCGACTGTCATACAAGTGAGAGATTTAGCTAGCTATAAAACAAGGCTTAATCCACCATTTTCTACTTAAGGAAATGCCTGTACCAAGTCAGGAATACGACAGTTGTTTTCCATTCGTTTGATGTGTTTTAGCTTTTGTTTTTGCCAATTGTAAAGGGACTTTCCGTTTTGAATTTTCCTTAGGGTTCGGTATTTTTATTGTTTTACTTTTTTCTCAAACCTTATTATGCATTTGTGTATATTTCCTTTACCTGAATAAAAATATTTTTTATTATTACTTTCATTGAATTCCGAGCACGTGTATCTCCAAAACAGACATCCTATGACCCATTCGTTATCCAGGTCCATTTATCCTAATTGACATGATATGCATTTTACTGAATTAAGGTTCAATGTTAGTCTTAAAAGTGTTATTAAAATCAAAATCTTCATATGTCTTCTCAAAGATATATATCCACAATTAATATCGAAAATTTTGTTTCCACTTATTGACTTGAACAATGCAAAAATAGTGAGTTTTTTTTGTATTTATCTGTATTCAATAGTTTATATTTTTAAAATTTATTCTTCCCTTATTGGATCATCTTTTAATATATTCTTGTTTTTATATATTAATATTTTTTCATAAATGAATAGTTATCTTACATATCAACATAAATATACATACCGGCACTGTAAACTGCTTGATGTACGAAACCAAATAGAAAAGACACAAATACTAGAATCATCTTGAATCAAATGAACTTAGAAAGAGTTAGTAAGATACCTGTTGGTTCTTGAACCCTTGTAATTGAACTATCTTACAATTTAGAATCATCCTTGTGTACGTAAGTAAACAATCATATCTCAAACTTAAAAGGATTTGTGGACAACATTCGGCTCTTATGTATCAAACTGAAGGTTGTCAAGTCAAAACCTTTCAAGTTGTTGACACAAAGTGATATTATTGTTTGTTCTGTTGAAGAGAAAGTTTAACTTAATTGTACCTAGATTTTGTAACTCTTGTGTCAGTTTTCATTGCCAACTGCATGTGTTTCCAGGGTAAATTTTTTCTCAAAAGAATGGTTTGATATGCATGAAATATCTGAACATTGGGTACAATGTACGTGTATTTGTTGCATATACTACTCAAAAACGCTGCTCACGCTATTGCTGTCAGTTTTAAATAAAACGTCTTTTTGTTTTTACAATGTCCATTGTACCTTGACAGAATACAAACAATCATATGGACTAAATGTATAATGTATACGCAAACCAAATGCATATGATATGCCATTCAATATTTACATCGGCTTTTTTTACGTTAATTAATTAATTCATTTCCTTATTTTTTTCATACTTTATTACTATTATCATTTTTATCAATAGTAATAGACGAAATTTAGTAGAAGCAGTAGTACTAAGTGAAGTGAATCTGTGAAGAAAATCAATAAAAGTGCTGTCTTGTTTGGTGTCTGAGATCATGGAAGACCACAAAAACCAATTATCTGATATTTAATATTTTTAATTTTTCCTATGAATGAAAGGATATGTGGAATATACATCATTTAAACAGTGACCAAACGACACAAAACGAGTACAAGATGCGGTATTCAACAAAAGATAAGGTCTAACAAGTATCAAGTTCTCAACCGCTCATTAAAAATAATTTACATTATAATTCTAAAATAATCATTCTTTTAATATCCGAATAAAGATCAAATTATCAATATTTTGTTTGAAATATAAACGAAAAAGAATGACAAATTAAAGTCTTCGTTTTCTGCCAATAATAACAGTATTGGGTGCTGTTGGTAACGGAGTCTCAATGTTTGGCATTGTAGGGGCGGGAGTTTCTACATTAGGCAAAGTAGTTGGTTTTGGTGTTTCTATGTTCGCCATCGTTGTTGGTGCTGGTGTCTCTACGTTAGGCATAGATGTGGATGGTGCCATCGTTTCGATCGTAGTCGTTGTCGGCGCCACAGATGTTGATGGTGCCATCGTTTCAATTGTAGTCGTTGTCGGCGCCATAGTACTCGTGAGATTTGAAATGTCAGTTGAACCTACTTGGATGGTCGGACCATTTGTTGTACCATTTCCACTCTTGGCTAATAGTAGCATTAAAACAAGAATATTTATAATAAATCTCAAATACATATCTTAACAATAATAGTTATAATAATTGTAATAATAATTATACATTGTAATAATAATTCGAACAGAAATATACATTCGAGTCAGACCTTTTGTTCAAATTCCAGCAGCGCCTGCATACGGAGTATATATCTCCCAATTGATACGATATTCCCGGGCTTGTGTTTCCTATCATGATTTCCTTGATAGAGGATTGCTGCTCACAAGGAAGCTATTAAGCCAAGAGTTCCAAATGGTGAAGTTGAAATCATCCCTTCGTAAATTTTACGGACGCCATCACGAGTTGGTTGACCGTTATGGAATAACCGTTTCACAGATGATATCGGATATGTTCCTTATGTCGTAACTACAATATCCTTCCCGTTTCACGAATGTGACTTACCGAATTAGACTATTTACCGGATTTGTAATAACATAAGCAACACGACGGGTGCCACATGTGGAGCAGGATCTGCTTACCCTTCCGGAGCACCTGAGATCACCCCCAGTTTTTGGTGGGGTTCGTGTTGCTCAGTCTTTAGTTTTCTATGTTGTGTCATCTGTACTATTATTTGTCTGTTTGTCTTTTTATTTTTGGCCATGGCGTTGTCAGTTTGTTTTCGATCTATGAGTTTGACTGTCCCTCTGGTATCTTCCGTTCCTGTTTTATCTTAATTTCACTATTTTATTTCTGTGTTCTTAGTAAAAATTCAATGTGTATTTTTTATCATTCCTATCCTGGTATGTTCGTCATTTTGCACCATTAACAGGGTTACACTTGATATATATTGCTTCGTGTAAATGTTTATGCTTATTTGCAAAAGGATAATGAAATTGTGCTGCATCAATCGTTGTTAATCAACCAAAAGTATAATTCTACATTTATTATTCATATATAGTGTTATACATTTATGAGCATCTACGTCTTACATTTTTATTTTGTTTACTATCGAAATAATAAGTTTTTTGAATGATTGAAGAAGACAGTGTTACCGTAACTTTTGTCATGATACATTCCAACATTATATGTAACTTTTCAAAAACATTCAATATTTAACTATAGGTACACTATAAAAATAAGAAGATGTGGTATGATTGCCAATGATACAACTCTCAACCATAGACCAAATTACGTAGAAGGTCAGCAACTAAAGTTCACCGTACGGGCTTCAACAATGAGCAAAACCCATACTACATATAAAGCTATAATAGACTACTTACGGAATTCACAGGCATAAGTGTAATGATATCCTATATTCCCTACGATTGGATGACATGGATAATCATGCCACAGGCCACCATCACTACGTCTAATCAGAGCACAGTCTTCGTTTGAACCACCAGCAAACAAAAATCCGGTGTTGTGGTTATTTCCTTGTCCTTTTGCAAAATGCCCGTATGTTACACTAGTTCCTGAAAGGAAATGCATTTAGTTAAATAATACAAACTTAGTGAAATCCTGCTAATTCAAAATTGACCTTTTAACTTCAAGAAAGATAATATAAATGTGATTGTTCATAGAGTTAAAATGGAAGATATGTACATGTAAATGAGATTCGTATGAATAGGTCTTCTTTTTATCAATATTAAAACGATTTAAAACATCTCCCAGAATATTTTGAAAATTGACCTATCAGAATCAAAGGTTGTCTCCGACTGAAATGATTTTCATCCGATCGATTGTGATCATTTGTAGAATACCTTTCATACGTCATATTTGCCAAATTTGATAAGAACTTACCAAGTACATTGTAGACACATAGCATACAATTTAAAATGAGATTTTCAGAGGGTTCCAAGATAAGTATCAATAGGAACTATGTGCCACAAATCGTGCTAACATGTTCGCCTTCCAAAATAAATCCTAATCCAATCTAATATTTAATACTAATATTGCACACTTGCTGATTTTTTGTACTCATATAAAGCAGAATTGAAACAAACTGAAAAAGATCACAACATGCTTCATGTCACTTACACCTGCATTATTTTACGCATAAATCATTTTCAGTGAGTGTTTTATCTCTTAAAGCACTTGGAAGTGAAATAATAGGAAATGGAGAGCCAAGAACCACTGCTCTGTATTCTTTTTGACTGTATTAGAACAATAAACTCATCATATATATATATGTACTAAGCATAACATTTTGTACTACAGACGAGTGTTTAGTCTACCAAAGATTCACCAGTGACGTTCGAAAAAAAAAGTTGAAAAGGCCAAATAAAGTACGAAAATTAAGAGCATTATAGACCCAAAATTCCGAAGGGTTTGCCAAAAACAGCTAAGGTAATCTATTCCTAGGGTAGAAATTCCTATGTTTCTGAACAATAATTTCATAATTATGATCATATCAATGGTAATTCATTTTCAACACAGTAGTGCTGACTACTGGGCTTGTTAACAAAGTGGCAAACACAAACTATAAAGAAAAACACGTTCGCCAGTTAGACTGGCACGGTACTAGTTACGTCTAATTTTATGGAGGAGTTCGGTTTTTGTGTTTGGTGTGATCGGTTGTACTGTCAAATACTTTTGTAATTCTTGTTATCCTGTTTAAGCATTACACTGTGTAACTCAAAAAGATATACACAGATTTTAACATAGTATCAATAGTCGTTGATTTTTAGTGTCTTATATAGTCGGAGAAAATTGAATTTACGAGCGAATTATCTTTGAACGCACCGCATTGCACTTTCATAGACACGTATTTCATGTTGTTGTTTCAGTGAGAGAGAGAAAAATATGATCCCTGTCGAGCGCCTATAGTAATACAGAGGCAACTCGAGCTTATAAGTATGAACGCAGGAAATTAAACACTTGTTTACCTATCTTCATTGTACTTAAAATATATCTCCTTAAGATAAGTCCTTACAAGATTTGCAATATTTACAGGTTGTAATAATCAGAACAAGGAAAGTTTGTGAAATGTTATTTTAGTATGTCATATTCTTCAACAGAATAGATAAGATATTATATGATTGTTTTGATTAAAAATACCTGTCCAGTATATATTCAGTTAAACCCAACCGTCTTCATCGAAAACTACGGAGATAACCTCTTATGCCAACGTACCCAATGAAATAGATTGGAACAAGTTGAAAAAAAATGTAGGTATTCTCTTTTTTAAGGACAGTAAATGATTCTTTTACAAAAAGTTAATATAACGAACAATACCAAAAAACAATTTTTACAAGACTTAAAAACAAATACCGTCTATCCAGCGCCAGACGCCTTCTTTACCCTTGTCTGTAGCACCAATCCATACATTTGCTGCATTCCAATGTTCCAATTTTAAAGAATCCAAAATGAACTTTTCTTTTGCACTATCTTTTATTGTTACTAAATCTCCTCCTAGGTTCTTGCAGCTTTTATGGGCATCGTCCCATGACAATTCATTTTCGACAAACAGTAAACATACATCTGTATACACACGTACGTGTTTCAAAGTCTGAATTCTTGTTGGACATGTTGATAAATCTACAGAAAAAAAATGCGTCAATGAAAATATAATTTTATAATATTATAAGAAAAGTTGAAAACTAAATATTACAGCATTTATTTAAATGCGGCTTTGCATGATTTTCATAACGTGACATGACATCATAGCCAAACTTCGACACAGGACACCTTACATTGTGATGATAATAATAACACGATTGTTCGTAAACAATTCAATTTAAACGAAAAAAAAAACATAGCCTTAGTCGTAGAAACACATACTGTTTATACCTTTGTTAGAGGTCGGCCACACTCAACACATATGCTCTAATGAGTATCCATTATAATGAATGCGAATTCAGAAATACAAAACGCGCGTTATCCGTAACGTCATGCCAGTACTTGGCTGGTGATACCCCGAGGACTAACAGTCCACCAGCAGAAGTACTAGTATCACCTAAATTAAAATTTACGACACCTACAAATGAAATGTCCTTGGGCAAAGATAACCTAATACACACGCTCTCGCTCCATATAACATTTACTTGTCGTGTATATATATACATGTACCATAGGTTATTGATGGAGTGTGTAATATTTTTATCAAACAGACCTTCTGATTCTTGATATAACATGAGTATATATTACTAATTTAAATATTAAACAGATGCCATCTTATATTGGGCAGTGTTAATAACGATAATTCTTGTGTTACATTGTATATATATTCGGTCAACACATGACATCGCACAACTAATCGAATTCTCCGAATTCTATAGATCTATATATGCATTTTCCCCTTTGCATGTCCATCGTGGCCTTGAGTTTTCGTGGTGAAAGTTAATGCAGTACCAGTGGCGGATCCAGAACTTTTCATAAAGGGGGGGGGGGGGGGGCACTGACTGCCATAAGAGGGGGCCCCGCTACAGTCATGCTTCAGTGATTTCCTATATAACCAACCAAATTTTTCCCACAAAAAGGGGGCCTCCATGATATTAGTACTACCAAATATTGGCACAAGTTCTGTCATTCTTTTTTTTTTTTGAATATGTGAAATTTGAGGACGCAGATATATTTTTTTTTCTCGCCAAAAATTCATACTTTAAAAATCTCGATGACATCGTTCTCATTTTCCTTCTATACAGAATAACATTGTAACCAACACAACGTACACATGATGTACCTGTAGAAAACGTATTTCAAACGGGATAGCACACCCAAATTTTTACGTGAATGTTGTTTACCGAGACCGTAAATTTACATACGATCCGGGTAAACTTATCGATCCTTTCAATAAACTTATCATAAAAGGTTACCAATTCAATACTGTAATTAGGTCATGCATATTGTTTTTATTTGTATTAATATTGATTTTGTTATCAGTATACTAAAACCATACTAAATATTATTGTTATACACATATGCACATTCACGGTACTAAAATCTGCCGACACCTATTTTTGGCATTGCACAAGGTCGTGATTTTCTCTGACTCTTAATGACGTCTTTACACTTAATCCATTGTATGTTGGATGTGTACTGATTGATATTCTAGTCTTAGATACATGATTTTTTCATTAGTTTTTACTGATTTTGAACTAGCTGCCACTCTGGTCTTTCTTTGTTGTGGGATGTATAAATACGCTGCCAAGTCCGATCTGTGTTTCGTTAGATGTTTCCTGCTTTATATTGATCTGATGAGTTAAGCCTTGCAAATTTGCAGATTTAATATTGTTGTGCTGATATTTAGAGTAATTATGAATATAATATGTGTTTTCAGTCGTGTATCACCAATGGATGGATCTGTCGTAGAGTTGTCACTTGTTCAGACGTACTTATATATATATTTATATATGATGTAAATAAATAATAACAATAAAAAGATGTGGTATACCAAATCTTTTTATTGTTACTATTACATCATATGGGTAACTTCTTTTTTAACATATCAATTTAACGTTCTATATCTTATTTGAAAAGCATGTTAAGAAATATGGTTGTGTTCACTTTAATGAAATTCTTAACACTACCTTAATTGAGAACATTTGTATAGCTTTTACTGAAATAGCAATATGATCATCACTAAAAATAAAAACATATGAACGTGAACAACGTTTCCAGTATAACGAAAGAAAACAAGATACATCATTAATTGTAAATACATTTTGTAAAACGTTGCTGAAATTAAAGGAAATATTAATAATTATTACCTGATTGACAATAGACTTGATGACAAATGCCAATTATAACGAGTACAGTTATGAACTGTGTCATCATGATAAGTAAGAGTTTAATACAATAAATTAGATAATGCAGTATCAAGATTTCATGTCGCTAAGTGCATACATGACGCCATTGTACACATATACATGCACGATTATTATCTTTAAGATCTACTTTTCGTACTTCAAGATTTGATAAATTCAGATTAACACGAACAAAAAAAGAATTTATAGATAATGACTATTATGGCCTTGACCAAAAAATTGTTTGAAAAATATCTTTCTTCTAGTAAGTTTCTGTAAAATATTATCATGAAGATATTTCAAATTAAAATACTCATTTATTTCCATATCATAGAATTAGGCAAAATGCAGAATAAAGCTGGCGTGTCCTGCTGTTTTAATGTTGAGAAATGAGATTGAATACCTTCATTTTACCGTCATGGGCGTATTGCATTTGCACCAATTTTTGAAAAAATGCAATATCTTATTCGCACCACAGGGTTGTTTATTATTTTCGCCAAAAATGAAACACTGCGTTGCAACAATTTACAGGTAAAACATAACGGATACGTTTTGCTATAAGTTGTAGAAGATAACAACTGCTCAACTAACAGATTAACCCTCTTTTCACAGTTCCAAATCTTTAGCACTGGTGAAAGGTAATACGCAGCTATATCAGTCACAACAAGGGTCGATAACTCTTTTGCTACGGATCGGATGAGGGTCGATAAGTTTGTGATATTTACATTAGGTCAAATATCGATAAAAATTTTGTCATCTAAAATTTGTGAAAAAAATCAAAATGTCCAATATCGATTGTATTGAGTTTACGACAGACTTATTTTTTTTTTTTATTCAAATGACAAAGTTGACACACAGAAAACAATAAAAAAAATACGATGTATTTTACTATTATATTAATAAAAATAATAATGTTAAAACATTAAATTATTTGTTTTAAATATTATTGTTAAGATACATTGTTTATTTAGTGTTGTGATAGAATTTATTAACATTGGACAAAATGTGTTGTATTTACATTGAAACTATGCAAAATAACTTTGTACACGGAATGATTGTAACAAGTACTGGTTATTTTGTTTGGCATTCGTTTCTTGCATAATACCGAAATAATTGCGTCATGTATCTATAAATAAGAAGAAGTGGTATGATTGCCAATGAGACAACTCTCCATACAAGTCACAAATTATAAAAAGTTAACAATTATAGGTCAAAGTACGGCCTTCAACACGGAGCCTTGGCTCACACCGCACAGCCAGCTATAAAAGGCCCCGAAATGACTAGTGTAAAACAATGCAAACACATGTTTTGACCATTGTCATAACTTTGTCTGAGATTTCATAGTAATCTCTGTCATTTTGTATAACACAGATGTTTTAAAAAGGAATAGACTGTAAAACGTTTATATCTTTTGCATCTTATAAAAACTATTATCAAAATTAACTTAAACATGGTCAAAACATGCAATATTCAGAAATTCGGCATAGCATTTAGATAATGAAAACAGTAAATTTTATATGTAGTATAAACACGGAACACAGCCGCCATTTAAAAAATTTGGGACATCGACATAATTTTTTTTTTCTTTTTTTCAATCGTTTAGGGACGTAAATTGCAATCAATTTAAACTTTTAAAAGTTGCATACATTGCTAGATCAGGTATCATACATGTAATAGGGGGATTTATGAAGTTGATATATATAGAGACGTGGAGTTGCCGATTTTACAATAGAGGTTACTGGATGACGACGAAAAAAAGAGGGCTATTTACAATTTATCAGGGACGTAGTTTAATCGAAATTTAAACTGTCAGGACCAACATCTTCTGAACACCAAGGAAAAAGCTGCAAAAGGTAGAAAATGGGTCGGATTAACGAACAAAAGGGTTTTTTGTAGGGCCTATGCAATTTCTATCAGACAACTTGAAGGAAGATGGCGGATTGCCACGTCATGAAAGTCACGTGATGTCTTACTTAGTTTGATATAACATCAGACAATAGTCGAAAAAATTAGGCAGCACCATTATACCCCTCTTATCTTGTCCATCACATTATTAGTGATTACTCAACTAAATATTTTCAAGCTAGTCTATAAATGTCAAGCTCGATCTTTATCATTAACCATTCAAATGTTCGAGTGACGGAAGTCCTAGCCACTCAGCTTAAAGTATACAGACTGAGATAGACCAGTCAGTAAGTAAATTTTTATCTTACTATCAGCAAATGCCTTTGATACAAAAACTAACCCAGGGCACAGAATCCCCAAATAGTCTTGAAGTACTTGTGGCAAGGATGTGACTTGGAATACCAGAGCAGTCTGCTTCAATATTTGCGTTATACTATTAAACGGTTCCACATAGAAGGCCAACACATCCACACAGATGTTTTCAGATTCATGGATGCTAGTAATGTGTCTTGGGAATGTGTCAACTGTGGCATGCCAAATATTATCTGCGTTATTGAACTCCAACTTTAGTATTAGAACAGAAAATCACAAGTTTATCTGGTCAGTAGCCCCCGCGAAGTACCGGTGACAGCCTCATCAACAAAATGAAATGAAAAAGTCAAGATATTCCATCAAAATCAACCTTCTCTAAACCTAAGAGACCAATAATAGTAGTTTACATTAACTTTCAGTATAATTGTAACAAAAAACCAGAAATTGACGAAATTATTAACTATACTGTAAAACCTGATATAATTACAGGTACTGAAACTTGGCTGAATCCAAATATACCATTTCATGAACTTTTTCCACCAAACCTTTACAAAAAAGTCAACGCATACAGAAAAGACAGATTGATCAAGGAAAACGTCATGGCGGAGTTCTAGTTGGTATTACTAAAGCTTTTATAAGCTCAACAATAGATGAATTCCTAACAGATTGTGAAAGCGCGTGGACTGGAATAAACATTTCTTGCACACAAAACAATCGTTTTCGGATGATATTACCGTCCACCTCAGACGATGGAACATCATTTAAAAATTTAAATATTTTCTAACCAAAATTATAAACATCTCCAACTCCAACATATGGCTTGAAGGTGACTTTAACTTAGGTCATATCAATTGGTCTATTCAATCATTTTTTGCTTGGAAACCATAACCAAAACTACACCAACAACGTCTAGACATAGCCTTCGATCCTTGTTTACAACAAACAGTAGACAAGTTAACACGCAAAGACAGAACCTTAGATTTGTTCTTCACTAATTGAAGAAGCATAAAATTTGACCTTCTTGAGATATAAACAACAATACAAGAACAATAAAAATATAGCAGTGTAGATAAATTATGTAGTCTTTTTAGGTAGGCCTATTAAAATCTTCCGAGGAAAACGTACCACACAAAACGATCACCTAGAAACATAGATTACCTTGGGTAACAGAT